TCTCTCCCTCCCGTGTTAACAATAGAATGAGGAGCAATGAGTGGGTGGTTGAAATTTGTTATATCTGGCTAAACATTACCTGTTTCTTCTCTCCTTCTCATTAGTCATCATCCTTCATCCTGAGGAAAATTCCAAAATTATTAGAAATTGTTTTTGGCATTTCAAGAAAATTTACGACCTTATCATGATTGTGTTCATTTTATATTTTACTTATACTAATAAGTCAAACACGAGTTAATGAGAAGTAAACTCAGCAACATGGTCTCCCTTAAGTTTATTTATAATGTTGATGTTTTTCTGATAAGGTTACGTAGATTGACTGATAAAAAAATTAATCGATTACAAAAATTACTTTTTTTTTTAATTTTTTTAAAAATTAAATTTTAATTGATAAAATGTAAAATATTTAATTAAATTATTATTTTTTAAAATTACATAAAAAAATTTTTTTTTTCACCTGAGTCTCACAGTCCAATGACCATAAGTCAACTTATAAAGTGCATCCTCCAACTTGAGGGTTTGGATTCAATTTCCCCTCTCCCAAAATTGTAATCTTGTTAAAAAAATAAGTTTCTTATTTTTTTAATTTACTTATTTACATATAGTATAATTTAAATTTAAAATATATTATTTTTATTTAAAAAGTTAATACTGAGTTTAATCATTAATATTAAACTATTATTCTTTAAATTGGTTTTTTTTTCTAATTAATTACTTATATATTGCCAAGAACTTACTAGTCTATCATAAAATTTAAATGCAGATTTTTTTTAAACACAAAAAATTACAAAAATGAAAAAATTTTAAGTTATTTATGAGAATCAAATTCTTAATCAATTAAATTTATTAATACTTGAGGATGAATCTTTAATTCTAAAAATATAATTTAAATGTAAATTTTTTTAATATAAAAATAAAACTCAAACCTTACATTTTTTTTAAATACATGAGAATGCCTTTATCAAAAGATGGGTGTTTCACCGGCCACCAAAGACTTCTCTGAATGCAGATTTTTTTACTTCTATGATAAAAGAAGAGATTGACACTTAATCACTTTAGTCATTAATTGAGGTTATCTGATATTTATTTTTTCTGATAATAATTAAGCAAAACGAAGACATGATTGACGGAAAATATGTAGACACGGTTTGGGATGTAGGAGAGAACACGGGGAAGAAGAGAAGTGGACAGTGTTTTGGACACGTCTCGGGTGATTGATGGATGCCTAGCTGAAAAGACCACCAAACTGGGACCCGGATTCGGACAAAATAGTGGATGGACATCAAAACGGTACGTGGAGCATGTGGTAGTGACAGCACCAAATGTTCAGGTGGGTTCACGCCGAAGAACAAGAGAAATGAGCCAAGTTATTTATCCAAAATAAGGTTGATTTGGTA